TTCTTCCAAAGTGTTCAAATGTTACTTCCTCTGTGAAGCATTCTTCTAACCCTGGAGAGATATTTCCCTAAGCATTTTATTTAAAGTCCTGTTACATTGTATAATAATCACATGTGTGCTATCCACTTCCAGAGACAACTGGCAAGAGATGGAAGAAGCCCAATGTTTGTACCTTTGCTACCTACAATGCCCAACCACTAAAAGGGACTACATTCATATTCACTAAGACTACATTCACCATACTACTTTTTGAAAAAGAAATAAAAAGTCAGTTGTTTTTTTTTTAATTAAAACAATTACATGTTTACCTAGCTAACCTAGGTCTATAATGTGATAGACTTTAGGGTGACCACTCTCACTTCTGGCATTTAAGCTTTTGTGAAATTCCCTCTCCTTGAGTGTAAACCAAACCTATGACTTGCTTCTAACCAATGAAATGAACCCAGTGTAGTGAGCACTAGCTCATCTTGCCAGTCTCTCCTTTGCTGGTTTTGGAGAAGCAAACTGCCATCAATCTCACCACCACAAGGAGATGAATTCTGCCAAACAACCTGAGGGAGTTGGAAGCAGATTTTTCTCCAACTGAGTCTGAAGAGAAGACTGCAGCTCTGGCCAACCAATGGATTGGAGTCTTGCAGAAAACCCACCTAAGATGGGCTCAGACTCTTGACAAGTAGACACTGACAAATATGTGTTGCTTTAAGCAACTAAATCTGCAACAATTTAATGAGCAGCATAAAAAAATGAATACAATTAGACCTTAAAGTATTTTCACACAAAGGCTGTTTTCTCCAGTTTCTGAACAGGTAAATGTGAAACAGCTGAGGAAATGCAAAATTAAAATAAGCTAACAGTTTAATTAAAAAATAGTACTTAGGAAAATTTACATAAGTTAAATCTTAGTAGAAAGTACTTTGTTACATAAGGCAGTTCTTATACTTCTCTTTTAACTCAATTTTGTGAGTACCCAGTGTAATAAGTCTAACATTAAAGCAACTCTCCTTACAAGCACAAGATGAGTAAGAAATGGGGGTGTATATTTAATAAATGATACTGGTAACCAGAAACAATAATTTACTTACTGGTCACCAGGCAAAGCAACCAATCACAGGGGAGTAGGGGACTTGAAGACACTACAGGAAAACAATAGAGCTCTTCCTCCCTCAGGAGCTACACAGCTAGTGAAGCGACCAAGTACCTGGTACTTGGTCACTCAGCTCTCAGTCAGATGGGGCCCTGTGAAACTCATACCACTCCTTCCTCCAGCCCACCTTCCATCCTGTAGTCACGGTACTTCCAAAAATTCCCAAAGCAGAAACTTCCATGACACCGAACACACCTCAGCACACACAACATAAGGTATCCCCTGTAGTCTTTAAAGATAGATGAGATTACAAGTGAGAAACATTAACCACCAAAGTTCCTTTGCAGGGAGGGGAGGGTGATTAGAAGTATCACTTCTTAGGAAGAAGCAGATGTTACTCTTCAACTGAATAAAAGAACGCCCAGGAATAGAACAGATTAATTCAACATCCCAAATTCAAATATTTTGGTACTTAATATTATAAGAAATAATAACTAAAAACAATGCCTGAATGATTAAAGGAGATAACCATAAAATCTCGCATGTATGTTTAAAATTAAGATAAATATTCCTAAAGCTAGAGACTTTAACTTACTCAGTTTTAAGAGATAACCCATACTCCTTCAGAGCAAGGAAACAGGCTCCACAAGTAACTGGAGGCACCTGAATTACAATCAGACTACTGATATACTCATGGGCAAACCACACCCAAACAAGCTCAAGACAATTAGGCAGCCAAAGGAGCACAGCACTACATGTTTATTGTCTTAAATTAATTCACTTTACATGTGCACTACTAGACTCAAGGATACATTACAGAAATCCATACAATTTGTCTAGAAATAATTTCCACTCACTGGTATATTTTTGTAGTCTAATTCACCTCCCCATCTTTGTGCATCAGTGAAGGCAATTTTAACTCTGATATTGCTTTTATAAACATGAGCAACTTAGTGGAAAAACCTAGACATAAAGCGAAACAAATCCTCTAAGATAGCACACCAAGCCTTTTAAATATTAGACTATGCCTTTAAAGATAAGTTTTAAAACAAAGGTGATGGGCAGTATTAACAGTAATTGAGGACTTCTGTTCATTTTAATAGTATTAAACTCATTAGTCTGGAAAGAATAGCAAAAACGAGAGAGACCTACTTTGTCTAAAATCTCCTATTCAGATTATAATCATACTCTGATGTCCAGAAACTCAATTCTAGGAGATCTCTGTAAACTGAAATATCTGTACTAGGGCACCTCTCTTTCAGTTCTCTAGAGAGAACTAAGTAAGAGTACATACAGTCAAAATATATGTGCAAAAGAAAGCAAAACATAAAACCACCACAGAAAACCTTCTTATTCAATTTGGCAATTCGTTACAATTAAATTTACTTATCAGACTTCTAAGCTTAAAAAAAAAACAAAAAATAGTCCTGCTTAGGTTTTCATTTCCTCTAAACTACATGACAGCTACCAAAAAAAAAAAAAAAAAGAATTTTGAATCTTTTTAGTACTAAATCTTATTTGGAAACAACAATTTTACAAAATTACAGTAAGAACTTTCTACTAATTTAGAAATATTCATCTTCTCAATTTGCAAATAAGAGTCCATTACATAGGCATTTGTGCAACTTGTAACTCAATAAATACCTTAATACATAATAAAAGGTCAATGTGAGGTGCAATCAAATCTACCTTTTAAAATAAGATTCATTGTCTAGCTCCCTGAATCTAAGAATGATAAGAAACATGCTTCTATTGTTTTCCTCATGGACGGAGCCACTGAAATAGAGATAAAGATCTCATTAAGGCAATGCTTCTAAAAGATGTTTTTACTTAGGTCTATTCCATCTGTCTTAACAGGATTTAAGATGGCAGTCTGATGTAACCCCCTCACTTAAGAACAGGGAACTTTTCTGATCCCTTTCCCCCCTTGGAGGTTTCTCAGTAATCAGGAAACAGAGAAAATGGAGTGACTGTCTTCCCAAAAGTCCTAAAAATGATACATAACTAGAATTATTCTAACTACCCTGAAGAAAAAAAGGTTAAAGTGACTGCACACTATGGGTGACTAAGGACAGTTGTGCTCAATTCTCTCCAGAGACCTGGGGGGAGAAAGGTTGCTCAACTTCCTCAGTGTCACTGTCCCGCTACCAGGCTCCAGTCTGCCCAACCAAAGAGCAATGAAACAGTTACCTACCTACTAAGTGCACAAACCTAAGAACTTAGAATTAAAAAAAAAAAGCTTTACCTCCAACTTCCAGCAACTAATTCTTTTTCCTTTGCTAACGTGCTATGAACAGTAGAGATATCAACTCTTTGCCCCTGGTCTAAGTGGAATGCATTTATGTTAACAAAATGAAGCCGTATAAATATACTGATTCTTTGTCAAAGAGAACTGTCAGCACTTAAAAAAGTAATAGTAAACAATATATTAAGTATTAATTTAACAAGTTTACTTCTTTAGCAAGCTTTTACATAATCATGTCTTTTAATGATCTGAACTGTTAAAATGCAAACCTTCATTTTAAAGTTTTTTTTTTTTTTTTTAAGAAAAACTAGTTTATTCTTGCAGTAGTCTCCAATTCTCTGGAAACTGTTTCACAGTTCCTTTAACTGTGTTACTTGTAATAAAATCACAGTAAAAACATCACTAGTTCTGTTTTCAAAAACAAAAGATTTTTAAAAGACCCAGTTTTCGGAACTGTCCACATTTTTTATTTACTTAGCAAAAATTACTATAAAACAAGTCATTAAAGTAAAGTAGTTAAAATTCAAGTGTTGTTCCATACTGAATGTGCAAAGGAGCATTAAAAAAAAAAAAAACTAAAGGTGAATTCTTATTTTTAACTTACGCAGATAGAACCTAAGAACAGACTTACTGAATACAATTTTACCAACTTCCTACTCAAAGTTTTTATAACTATAAATATTTGAGTGAAAAAGGCCATAAAAATGGAGGGATGATGTTTCCATTATTTTTTCGGTACTCAGCTGTGAATTTATCTAAATCAGACACACAATGAAATATGGGAATGTTTGTCTTCTATACGTCTACTTCTTTTCATAAAGGAAGCAGGGGAGGTGGTTTTGACTCAGCATTGAACAGAAACCGAGTCCATTTTCCTCAGTGCACCTTTCCTCCTGTGTCTCCATAAAAGCACATCACCTGCCACTAAAAATTTCCATTTTTCACAAGTGACTTGGCTCTAATCAACACAATTCTTCAAAAGAACCTCGCCAGCTTGCTACCACACCTTGTAGGCAGAGTTGTGATGACTTTTAGATTCCCTCCTTAAGGAACTACTTTCCATTATTTCAATGCTCTGCTCCAAATTAAGGAGTGACATTAACCATTATGTCAAGTAGCTGACTGGGGCTAAAGCACTTACCATTAAACAAAAGCATCCAATCAACGCATATGTGGTAGGTGAGACTAGTATTTACCTAGACTGAAGTACTAGTGCGATATATGAAAAGTCGTTCCAAAGGAGCGAGAGGATAAACTTCCTCCTCCTTCAAATACTCAAGAGTCCACTCGGGACCTTGCCGACTCTTGTCCTTTAAAACTGCTCACCACTCATTCCCTGGATCGCCTCCTGACTTCCTACCACCAAAAGCCACAGCCAGGAGGGCTGTCGGGTCGACTTGCTTTAGCACCACGCTAGACTCAGTCCCTCGCAGGAAGAAGGGCTTTCCCTACGCAGAAGCCCTACCTAGGCAGGGTGGCCAGGGCGTCACACTCAACGCCACGGGGCGGCCGGGCAGCGACTGCGCCGCAGGGGCTGAGCGCGCCTCTACCCAGCACGGGGAACCCGGCGCAGGCCGAGGGCTGGCCCGGGCGCCCGGTGAAGGAGAAAAGGAGAAGGGTAAAAATAAACGGCGGCCGCGGCCCACGTGCGCGGCGCGGGAGGGGCCGTACCTCCAAACATGTGCGGCGAGAGGTGAGCTGGGAGGGAGCCGATCACCAGGCGCGGCCCGCCGGAGCCCCCGCCCGGAGGCCGGTCCCTGCCGCCGCTGCCACCACCGTCCTCGGGGCTGCTGTGCACCGAGTCCTGCGAGCCGTACGGGCCGCTGCTGCTGTTGGGGATGCTGAAGGAGGACTGTGCGGCTCGGGCCCCCGACGCCACGCTGCTCACGGCCCCGCCGAGGGAGCGACTGCGCGGGGCCGCCGGGGCCGCTGCGGCGCCGCCCGAAGCGCTGGGCTGGTGCGCGCTGGACACCTGAGCCGGAAACCTGCCCGCAGCCACGGCCCGGGCCCCGCCGCCGCTGCTCCCGCCGCCGCCGCCTGCGGTCCCGTTGGCCCCTCCGCTGCTGCTGCTGGAAGGGAGATCCGAGCCCGAGTAGGCGCGGGTGCGGCCGTTAGCGGCGGCCGGGCCGCTCTGCTTGGCGCCCATGTCCGCCCGGCCCCTGGCCGGCCCGCGCGCAGCGCCCCGAGCGCCGCGAGGGCGGGAGCGAGCGCAGGAGCCCGAGGGCAGGGCCGAGGCGCCGCGGCCGGCCCACAAGGGTCCCCGCACGTCCAGGGCCGCGGCCCGGCGCCCCGAGGGGCGGTCGGCGTCCGGCGCGCGCTTGTCCTCGGGGGCGGCGGCCTTACGGGGTTCGGGAGATGAGGCGCAGCGGAGAGGAAGGAGGCCCGGCTGCAGCCGCGGCGGGCGCCGCTCGCTGGCTCCCTAGGAGGAGCGGTTCAGGTGGCGGAGCGGCGGCCGCTGGTTTCGGTTCTAGTGCGCCACGACGGGTCGTTACCGCTCTCTTCTGCTGCGGCCGCGGTGCTCCGCGCCCCCGGCCTCGGCACCGCCTCCTCCCGGGCGGCCGCTGCTACCGCCGCCATCCTCGGGCTCCCAGGGCTGCTCGCGGGTGAGTGGGAGGCGCCCGCCCAGACTCCGCCGGGGCCACCTTCCCTCCTCCCCCAGCCACCCAGCTGTTATTAACGGTGAAAGAGGAAAAACGGGTGGCGCGTGAGGGGAGGGTGAGGGTGGGGCGGCGCGCGCTTCCCGGCAACCGTCGCCTCGTCCCCCCTCACGAAGGAGGGGCCACGGGTGCCTGGCCCACCAAGGCAGGGGGTGCCCAGGACGGGGAGGTTCCCAGGCCCTCGCGCCGGAAGGCCGAGTAGCCGTACGGCCCCAGACTGTGCCCGGGCCGTGTGTTTGGTTCGCGCGCAGTGACCCGCCCCCGCCCCCCTTGTGCCGCCCTGTGCATTGGCTGCCGCCCTCCTGGCCCCGCCTCCCCGAGCCCAAGCCTGCCAGCCCTGGCCCCGCCTAGCCAAGGTACAGCAGTGTGGTAGGTGCTGCCACCCCCGGACTCGTTGATGGACAGGTCGCTGGCTCCGCCCTTCGGACGAGGGGGCGCCCCCTCTTCCACCGAGGGGCCTAAGCCGATTGGAAGGACTGAGCTCCTCAGGGCACCAATCGGAAGGCGGCCCCTCCTTCCGCACGTGGCCCGAGGACGCTGAAGAAGAGAATACCTTCACCTTTTCTGTCTGGGGTTGTGAATCGCAGTTGCTGTGTGCTGAGACACTGGGTATGGGTAGGTGCTGCCCACTGTTTAAAACAACAACAAAAATTTTTAATAGACGCTCAGCGATGCTGATGATAAAAGAGAACAAGGAAAACAAAGGAAAAATAACCCAGAAGGGCCGAAGCCTACTTGATCTGACTTGATCTTGACTTATCCCCCTGAAAGACAGTCTGGGAACAAGTGCAAAGTTGGAAGAACTAAAGATAATTCTGCCAAATCTTCAATGGTAGGGTAAAAATTGAGGTGCAGAGAAAGCTGAATCTGACATGCCACCTGGTCTGTAGGCACAACACCTTGCTAAGTTATGTGTGGATAGCAGTTATAAATTTTTGGACTTTAGCATTCATACCTGGAAAGTTTGTATTAAATCACTAGGACATCAGTAGCCTTAAAATTTCTAACTGAAATTTTACAAAATTCTCCATTCATTCATAGCTGTGAAGTAGTATCTTGATGCAGGGTGTAGTGAAGATATCCAGTAAGACTGCCATACTCCAACCTTCTCAACTTGAAAATCCCTGAACTGTCCTCCACGTGGAAATAACAGAAATTGGTATTTTTGTACAAACTATGGTAAATACTTTGTAAATTTTTTTATATTTGCAATGAGTCAGTTTTGTAGTGATTTTGTTGCTGTTTCATAGGATATGAGAATTGAGTTTGTAAATAAAAATGGGGCCTTGTGCAGCCATGGATTATCTGTAATCCCAGCTGTTTGGGATGCTGAAACAGGAGGATCACTTGATGCTAGCCTAGGAAGTAGAGTGAGACAAATAGATAAATAAAAATAGAAATGTACAGAATGTGTGTAGGTGTGGGTGTGTATGGATGTGTTGCATATAATTTGTAGATATGTGCTATACACAAATATACATAAACAAAGCTTTCATAAAGAATACCATGTTAAAAGGTGTCTTCATCATTTTGGTAAAGTGTTTTTTCCATAAAGCTATTCCCTGCCACCTCATTCCCAATATTGAAGATACACTTGAGCATCCTAATGCATCACTTTCATATTCATGTTAGACTTGTTGCTTGTCACTAAACAATTAGCTCCATGACAGGCTCCATATCTGCAAACCTAGACTTAACAGTGCCTGGCACCTATGACAGACTAGTAACTATTCAGCGAATGCATACATCTTCACCAGTCCTACTAAAGTGATTCTCTCTTTAAAATTGCTCACAAATTTATGTTCTTATTCTCCTTGACATCTCTCATGTGGTGGGTGCCTCTTCTATCCCCTCTTTGGTGGCTCTTTTTGCTTTCCCCACTAAGACTCTGGAAGTATAAAATGTTGACTTCCTCTTTCTTGGCCCTCTTCCCTCTCTCTTCAGCCCTCTCATCTCTCTCCAAACAGTAATCCCCATGAAGACAACTGTGCTTCATTGTCAAACAGCTTCTTTATTTTACTCTACCAGTTCTTCAGAAATTAAAAGTGCTACTTCAGTCAAATTAGCACACATAAGTATACACACATAGGCAGAAATGCACTCCCTTTCTTTTCTATTCTGTTTTGTTTTTTTAAAATGTCGGTCACTGCCCACTGAATTGCTCATAACCCACTAATGGATTGTAATCTGCAGTTTGACAAATGATGGTCTAAATCAGTTCATTGCAAACTTTGGTGCAGGAAAGTTTCAACTAGAGTCTGTTAAAAGCAGATGTCACCCTAAGTGAGTCTCATTCCATAGTTCAGAGGTGGGACTTGAGACCTCCCGTCACCTCTGGAGACTCAGAAGTGTTGTTTAATGTCTCTTTGATTCTTCAAAAGACCAGAGGCCCAGCTCTTCAGCTTTAAAAAATTTCTAATATTTAAAATAAATATTTGAAACTTTTTCTTTTTTGCAGTGCTGGGAGTCTAACCTGGGGCCTCATGCATGCTAGGTAAATACTTCACTGTTGAGCTGCATCCATAGCCCTGCAACTAGTTTTTTATCTTTAAGAACTTCATTAGATTAATTTTGATATATCTCATCTATGACCATACTACCCTGAATGTGCCTGATCTCATCTGATCTTGGAAGCTAAGCAGGGTCGGGCCTGGTTAGTACTTGGATGGGAGATTTATTGCTATATATCTTATACTTAAAGGTGTTGTAAATACTTAAAGATTTATTTTTAAAGGTCTCATAACTAATAAGTGGAAATTTATATAATAACCTTGTATTCAGTCATACTACTGTCAATTATCTCCATTTTATACGTATATGGGTATCTCAATAGTGAGATGAATTTGATTCTTTGGGGTAAATACCCAGAAGTGATTGGTATAGCTGGGTTATATGGAAGTTCTATTTTAATTTTTTTGAGGAACCCTCTACTGATTTCCATAGTAGCAGCACTAGTCTACGTTCCCACCAATGGTGTACAACAGTTTCCCTAGCCCCACCCTACCCCACCAACATTTGTTATTCTTTGTTTTCTTGCTGATAACCATTTTGACTGGGGTGAAATGGAATTTCAGTGTCATTTTGATTTGCATGTCCCTGATGGCTAAAGATGTCAAATATCTTTTTATGTCTTTATTGGCCATTTGTACTTCTTCATTTGAAGTGTCTGTTCAGTTCATTTGCTCATTTATGGACTGGATTACTTACTTGCTTTTTCTTCTTTAATTTTTTGAGTTCTTTATATTTCTGTATATTAATCCCCCATCACATGAATATCTGGCAAAGATTTTCTCCCGTTCTGTAAGCTCTTTGGTGATTGTTTTCTTTGCTGTGCAGAAGCTTTTTGATCTAATGCAATCCCATTGGTCAATTCGTGCTCTTATTCCCTGAGTTACTGGAGTCCTATTCAGAAAGTCATTGCCTATGCCTAGACCTTAACATGTTTCCCCTATGTCTTCCTTTAGTTGTTTCAAACCTGAAATTTTAAAATATGCTATATGTTTCTTCCATTTCACATGGTTAAATGATATTTTTAACAAAAACTTTTGAGGTTTGAAACAGGTTTGAACACATTGTTAAGGCACTTCTGGTTGACAAAACTACGAACCAGAAACCCATGTTGGAATAGGTATGTTAGTTGCATGCTAGCAATAAAAATACCCGGCTAAAGAGTTTGCTCTTGTCTGGTTTGAATTTCAGTTGGAGTGAACCTTCTTCCCTTTGGCCCTTATTGCCTTTTGTGTGCCTCTTTCTTTTCTTGTCCCCTTTTTAAAGCTGTGCCAGATCAGACATTTGAGGTACAGGACAGTGATTTGCACAGGAAAAAGACCTGTGGCACCCATGAGATTGGGGGGTCCTCCTGCAGTTAGCACCTGCCCTACCTTTTCTGCTAAAAACTTTCCTATCTACTTTTTCATTAATTAAGTTTTTAAAAGGCAGCTGTGTCTTTGCCCTTTAAAAAAATAATAAGTATTCAGATAACAAGTTATCATCAAAATGAGGCTTTTTTCCTATTACATTTTTAAAGAAATAAATGGACCATCTAAGCATTAAACTTTATCTTCATACATCCTGCAAAAACACTGTCAAGATTTTAGTGGTGATTAGATACATATCTTAAATTTCTAAAACTAAAATTAGAGTATTTAGGAATCACGTTGTTGGGTAATTTTTCAGAGAACATAAATAGCTTATATAATATCTTTAGCAAAGGTTGTTCTCCTTTCCCTGTACTTTCATTAGTTCTTTAATGAGAAGCAAGGGACGGAAGCCAATCACCACAGGATTATAAGCATACTCCGTGAAGTAGGTGAGTTCAAGCCAGGGTCAGGCTCTGGCTCTGTTGAACACTGGCTGTGGGATTTGGGGCAAGCCACTTAACCTAGCTAAACCTGTTTCCTGTGGAAAACACACAGATCATAATACTGGTCTGACAAAGTAGCTGTGAGTCTCTATTTGAGAGTACTTTCAAATTTCTTAATACATATACAAACAAATTCTAATCTTGATGTTTTCCCA